GGACGGTGGGCGGTGTGGATGGCCAGGGTCCTAGTGATGGTGATTTCACCATGACAGTTTTAATGAGAGCGATGATGATGATGGTGGTGGTTGTGGTTCAGAGTGGGCAATACAGGCGGTGGGCGGTGTGGATGGCCAGGGTCCTAGTGATGGTGAATTCACCATGACAGTTTTAATGAGAGCGATGATGATGATGATGATGGTCGTTGTGGTTCAGAGTGGGCAATACGGACGGTGGGCGGTGTGGATGGCCAGGGTCGTAGTGATGGTAATTCACCATGACAGTTTTAATGAGAGCGATGATGATGATGGTGGTGGTTGTGGTTCAGAGTGGGCAATACAGACGGTGGGCGGTGTGGATGGCCAGGGTCCTAGTGATGGTGATTTCACCATGACAGTTTTAATGAGAGCGATGATGATGATCATGGTGTCTTCTTGGTTTTTTCGGTAAAGTCACGTAGAATGGAAATAATAAAATAATAAAAATAAAACATAATAAAATAATCATTCAGACTCTGTCTTCTCGACAGACCTGTTCTTCACCTGAGGACGGCTGCGTTGTGGCCGAAACGTCGTGAGAATTATTTTATGTTTTATTTTTATTATTTTATTATTTCCATTCTACGTGACTTTACCGAAAGAACCAAGAAGATAAATAGACTTTCTAAGAAATGTGTTCTCCTACAACATCAGAGTGCAGCACCACATTAACTACGCACTACAATGACAATAGTTTAAAGCGATTTGAAGCATGTTTTTTTTTGGGGGGGGGGGCAGAGCTTTGTGACGTCATATTTGAGGGGGGGAGGGTCTGACTTTTTGTGACGCTGTGTGACGAAGAGGGGAGGGGTAAAAAATCGTCCAAAATCCCGTGACGTCATTTATGGACGGCCTCTTACGCCGGCGGCGCGCCTCGGGTGATTTCTTTCATCCACGTGGAATGGCGGTAGAGTCAACCTGCAGTACGATTGGACTAGTGGCCACGGGAGGTAATGACAGGGGAGTCAGCCTGCAGTGTGAGTGGACTAGTGGCCACGGGAGGTAATGACAGGGGAGTCAGCCTGCAGTGCGAGTGGACTAGTGGCCACGGGAGGTAATGACAGGGGAGTCAGCCTGCAGTGCGAGTGGACTAGTGGCCACGGGAGGTAATGACAGGGGAGTCAGCCTGCAGTGCGAGTGGACTAGTGGCCACGGGAGGTAATGACAGGGGAGTCAGCCTGCAGTGCGAGTGGACTAGTGGCCACGGGAGGTAATGACAGGGGAGTCAGCCTGCAGTGTGAGTGGACTAGTGGCCACGGGAGGTAATGACAGGGGAGTCAGCCTGCAGTGCGAGTGGACTAGTGGCCACGGGAGGTAATGACAGGGGAGTCAGCCTGCAGTGCGAGTGGACTAGTGGCCACGGGAGGTAATGACAGGGGAGTCAGCCTGCAGTGTGAGTGGACTAGTGGCCACGGGAGGTAATGACAGGGGAGTCAGCCTGCAGTGCGAGTGGACTAGTGGCCACGGGAGGTAATGACAGGGGAGTCAGCCTGCAGTGTGAGTGGACTAGTGGCCACGGGAGGTAATGACAGGGGAGTCAGCCTGCTGTGTGAGTAGACTAGTGGCCACGGGAGGTAATGACAGGGGAGTCAGCCTGCTGTGTGAATGCACTAGTGGCCATGGGAGGTAATGACAGGGCAGGCAGCCTGCAGTGCGTGTGGACTAGTGGCCACGGGAGGTAATGACAGGGGAGTCAGCCTGCAGTGTGAGTGGACTAGTGGCCACGGGAGGTAATGACAGGGGAGTCAGCCTGCTGTGTGAATGCACTAGTGGCCATGGGAGGTAATGACAGGGGAGTCAGCCTGCAGTGCGAGTGGACTAGTGGCCACGGGAGGTAATGACAGGGGAGTCAGCCTGCAGTGCGAGTGGACTAGTGGCCACGGGAGGTAATGACAGGGGAGTCAGCCTGCAGTGTGAGTGGACTAGTGGCCACGGGAGGTAATGACAGGGGAGTCAACCTCCGGTGTGAGTGGACTAGTGGCCACGGGAGGTAATGACAGGGGAGTCAGTCTACGGTGGGAGTGGACTAGTGGCCACGGGAGGTAATGACAGGGGAGTCAGCCTGCAGTGCGAGTGGACTAGTGGCCACGGGAGGTAATGACAGGGGAGTCAGCCTGCAGTGCGAGTGGACTAGTGGCCACGGGAGGTAATGACAGGGGAGTCAGCCTGCAGTGCGAGTGGACTAGTGGCCACGGGAGGTAATGACAGGGGAGTCAGCCTGCAGTGCGAGTGGACTAGTGGCCACGGGAGGTAATGACAGGGGAGTCAGCCTGCAGTGCGAGTGGACTAGTGGCCACGGGAGGTAATGACAGGGGAGTCAGCCTGCAGTGCGAGTGGACTAGTGGCCACGGGAGGTAATGACAGGGGAGTCAGCCTGCAGTGCGAGTGGACTAGTGGCCACGGGAGGTAATGACAGGGGAGTCAACCTCTGGTGTGAGTGGACTAGTGGCCACGGGAGGTAATGACAGGGGAGTCAGCCTGCAGTGTGAGTGGACTAGTGGCCACGGGAGGTAATGACAGGGGAGTCAGCCTGCAGTGCGAGTGGACTAGTGGCCACGGGAGGTAATGACAGGAAAGTCAGCCTGCAGTGTGAGTGGACTAGTGGCCACGGGAGGTAATGACAGGGGAGTCAGCCTGCAGTGCGAGTGGACTAGTGGCCACGGGAGGTAATGACAGGGGAGTCAGCCTCCGGTGTGAGTGGACTAGTGGCCACGGGAGGTAATGACAGGGGAGTCAGCCTGCAGTGTGAGTGGACTAGTGGCCACGGGAGGTGATGACAGGGGAGTCAGCCTGCAGTGTGAGTAGACTAGTGGCCACGGGAGGTAATGACAGGGGAGTCAGCCTGCAGTGCGAGTGGACTAGTGGCCACGGGAGGTAATGACAGGGGAGTCAGCCTGCAGTGTGAGTGGACTAGTTGCAACGGGAGATAATGACAGGGGAGTCAGCCTGCAGTGTGAGTGGACTAGTGGCCACGGGAGATAATGATAGGGGAGTCAGCCTGCAGTGTGAGTGGACTAGTGGCCACGGGAGGTGATGACAGGGGAGTCAGCCTGCAGTGTGAGTGGACTAGTGGCCACGGGAGGTAATGACAGGGGAGTCAGCCTGCAGTGTGAGTGGACTAGTGGCCACGGGAGGTAATGACAGGAGAGTCAGCCTACAGTGCGAGTGGACTAGTGGCCACGGGAGGTAATGACAGGAAAGTCAGCCTGCAGTGTGAGTGGACTAGTGGCCACGGGAGGTACTGACAGGGGAGTCAGCCTGCAGTGTGAGTGGACTAGTGGCCACGGGAGGTAATGACAGGGGAGTCAGCCTGCAGTGTGAGTGGACTAGTGGCCACGGGAGGTAATGACACGGGAGTCAGCCTGCAGTGCGAACGCACTAGTGGCCACGGAAGGTAATGACAGGGGAGTCAGCCTGCGGTGTGAGTGGACTGGTGGCCACGGGAGGTAATGACAGGGGAGTCAGCCTGCAGTGTGAGTGGACTAGTGGCCACGGGAGGTAATGACAGGGGAGTCAGCCTGCAGTGCGATCGCACTAGTGGCCACGGGAGGTAATGACAGCGGAGTCAGCCTGCAGTGCGAGTGGACTAGTGGCCACGGGAGGTAATGACAGGGGAGTCAGCCTGCAGTGTGAGTGGACTAGTGGCCACGGGAGGTAATGACACGGGAGTCAGCCTGCAGTGCGAACGCACTAGTGGCCACGGGAGGTAATGACAGCGGAGTCAGCCTGCAGTGCGAGTGGACTAGTGGCCACGGGAGGTAATGACAGGGGAGTCAGCCTGCAGTGCGAGTGGACTAGTGGCCACGGGAGGTAATGACAGGGGAGTCAATCTGCAGTACGAACACGCTAGTGGCCACGGGAGGTAATGACAGGGGAGTCAGCCTGCAGTACAAGTGGACTAGTGGCCACGGGAGGTAATGACAGGGGAGTCAGCCTGCAGTGTGAAAACAAGCGCGGGAGTGGGGTCTCCGCCTGTTCGAGTGTGAGCACGTGGCCCCTTAAATAAAGAAACCATCTCGGGACAAGCGCGTCGAAGTCGTCTTTGCACACGTATCCCGAGGGGGTGGAATGGGGGTGGGGGGTGACTGTGGAGTGGGGGGGGGGGGGTGCGGCGGTGCTGTAACAGGATAGAATTAATTTTTAAATTGATACAAAGCTCCAACACTGCTCGATCCATCGTCGCCACCGTGGCAAGGAGATGTTAACTCCCTCGCCTGGTGTACCGGAGGTCGTGGGTTCGATCCCGACCCTGACGCCTGCTGCTGTATATTTGGAGTTTGCGTGTTTCTCTCATCATCATCATCACGGTGGCTATGAGATGTTAACTCCCACGCCTGGTATACAGGAGGTCGTGGGTTAGATCCCGACCCTGACGCTTGCTGTATATTTGGAGTTTTCGTGTCTCTCTCTCATCAGGCGGTCGTGGGTCAAATTACATTTGTATTATTATTATTTTAAAATGGCACATCTTTTGGTATTGCCGGCTAGCTGCGGTGGCTGCCTTCCCTGGCTCATCTGTGGTTCCTCCTCCTCCTCCTCACAACACCGAGTCGCGCTCTCCCCTTCTCCGTTTCTCTACGAGAGTCGAGGACCGCAAACCCCGTGCGGTGGTGGCGGCGCGTTGCGGAGTTGGCATCATCATCATCAGATCGTAGCGTCACCAAAGCGTGCGGTGGTGGCGGTGCGTTGCGGAGTTGGCATCGTCATCACATCGTGGCGTCACGCATCACCAAAGTTTGTTGTGGCGGTGCGTTGCGGAGTTGGCATCGTCATCATCAGATCGTAGCGTCACCAAAGCGTGCGGTGGTGGCGGTGCGTTGTGGAGTTGGCATCGTCATCACTTTGTAGCTTTACGCGTCACCAAAGCTTGGCCTGCAATTGTGACTCAACACACGCTTTTTTTGCCTTTTTGTTTTCTTCCCCTCCCACCACCCCCTCTCTCTCATCCCCCTCCCCCCCAGGTGACGACTGAACTCTTCACGTGAACAACAACAAAACCCACCTGGCTGGACACTCCTGCAACCACTCCGGATGAGAGACACAAAGTGAGACTGGATATTTACCCAAGATCAGAAGGCCAGACCGTCACCAGAAGACGGCCTGAGACGTTGTCCGGGCCACTGAACTGTTTCAGCCGCTCATCGGGTCCAGCCACAGTCCCCACCCCCTCCCCCCCCCACCCAGAAAGGAGACTGCTGCCACGGCAAGACGTCAAGCACCGTCACGGTCATTCGCTCGCCCGTCCTTGCACGGTCATTCTGTTCCTGCCCGCACGAAAAGCTGCGCACACGCACTCGTTTATTCCGCTTGATCGGCAACGCATTCCCAGCCGATTCCCACATCTCCCCGCCTCCTCTAAACGGCGCACCTCGATAATCCACCTGGAAAAAAATCCATCGATCCCGACCGGCGGAACGTCCTTCATCACCCGACGCGTTGATATTATTTGCTTGGGTGGATATATCCGAACGGCGCGCGCGTGCGTGCACGCGGGCTTCAACCGAACGTCGATTTCGGAGCATCTGAAACTTCACCGCGGGCGTCCCCGAAATCCATTGGCAAATCAAAAAAGACCCCGCGCTTAAACAGGCACCGCATTCGACGCCGAATTGGAAGATCGACATTCCCACCCGAAATATATCACAGAGAATATTGCGAGCAACATCAGAGACAATATCATCGGAGGGAGCGACGCCCTCCATAGTTACATAAGTCTCCCACTGTGCTAAGCGTAAGCGCGACAAGTCGGTGACTACCCCCCCCCCCCTCCCCCCCGCGACTGGCACAATCGACGCAGGTCCCTGAGGCCTTGGGCCTAGAAAGTCGTCAACGGCCTGCAGCTCCTCGGCACTAAGATATCCCGATTGTCCGGCCGCCACCACCACCACCGCCGCCACCACCGCCGCCGCCACCACCACCACCGCCACCACCGCCGCCACCACCGTCACCACCACCACCGCCGCCACCGCCGCCGCCACCACCACCACCACCGCCGCCGCCATCTGTCGCTAACAAAAACCCGCGGCGTGGCTTCTTCATGCCACGGGACCTCAGCAGGCAGCTCACAAGTATCTAAAAAGCCTCCAGGCGACACCGACGTCGTGAACTCTGGCTAACCGAGCGGTCTTTTAGCCCCTTTCACCAGACTCGCAGGGCCTCAACTCGCCCAGGGCCATAACAGCCTCTCGACCTTCAGCATCTGGGCTTTGACGACCCCCGTTTTCTAAGCACGCACCTCCCCCCCCACCACCAATCCCTCAAATAACCTTTGGCGGGCCCCAAAGCTGCATTGGGCCTTGCACAACAACCTCAGGCCTTTACCTATGCCTCCGAACCCAATCGGCCTCTTGTAACTCAGCCTCACGCTTGCAGGGTGTCTATATCACCCCCCGCCCCCTACCCCTCATGCTGTAGTTGTTAAGACTTTGGGGGGCCCCCGTCCTATAGCAGCATCTCGTTCCCTCGTCCACGAAACATCCTTCAGGCCACCGGATCTCCCACCCCCCCTCCCCCCCCCCCCCGGCTTTGGAGACCTCCTGGCACCGCTGAGGCCCTGTCCAGGCTTCGGCCTGCTCATCCCCGCAGCGGGCGTGGGTGCGGAGGATCGGTTGTGCGGGGAGGAAGCAAGAGGAGGGGAGTAAGGAGAAGAGGAGGAGGAGGAGGAGGGGGGCGAGGAGGAGGAAGGGTCGCTGCTACGCGGCCTGGCCCCCCCCGGCTCAGCGATGCCGGAGCAGAGCAACGACTACCGCGTGGTGGTGTTCGGCGCGGGCGGCGTCGGCAAGAGCTCGCTGGTGCTGCGCTTCGTGAGGGGCACCTTCCGCGAGGCCTACGTGCCCACCATCGAGGACACCTACCGCCAGGTGGGCTCCGCCTCCATCGCGCGAGGGTCGTGGCTGTGCCGGTGCCGGTGCGTCCGCTGAAGGGGGGGGGGGGGGGGGGGGGGAGATGTTCGACGTTTGGGGGGTGGGGGCCTCATTTATATTCTTAGGTTTTTTCGGTAAAGTCACGTAGGTAAAAATTTTTTTACTAATTAAATAAAGATTTAAATCAAATAAAAATCACGACGTTTCGGAGGCGACACAAGCTTCCGTCTTCAGGTGGAACCGTCGCAGCCACGATTGCTGTATCAAGTGATACAGCCGGGTATGGGCACGGGTACCCGATTGCGACCCTGGTGCGGCCGGGTATGGGTAGGCCGTGAGTCACCGGTGAGTCGCCGTTTGTCACTCATTTCCCAACGTCTTGTCTCTTCTCACAATTCAAGTTCCTAGAATCGACCCACCCGCGCCTGCAACGTGGCTTCATCCCAGAGGTCGCAATCAGGTACCCGATACCCGTACCCTACCCGGCCGGGTACGGGTAAGGAATCAAAACCCGTTTGCGACCTCTGGTGAAGGGTGACCGCTTAACGCGGAGGGGGGGGAGTTTGTTCCAGTGAAGGGGCGAGGGCGAGAAGAGAGAGAGCAGAAGTGTGGCTTGAGCACGAGGAAGAGAAGGAGGAACGGAGAGAGAGAGAGAGCAAAGAGTGAGAACGTAGAAAGGGCCGAGATCATGAAGTGTCCATCTCTCTATCTCTGTGTGTATCTCTCTATCTCTGTGTGTATCTCTCTATCTCTCTTTATCTCTGTGTGTATCTCTCTATCTCTGTGTGTATCTCTCTATCTCTCTCTATCTCTGTGTGTATCTCTCTATCTCTGTGTGTATCTCTCTATCTCTCTATCTCTGTGTCCATCTCTCTATCTCTGTGTGTATCTCTCTATCTCTGTGTCCATCTCTCTATCTCTGTGTCCATCTCTCTATCTCTGTGTCCATCTCTCTATCTCTGTGTGTATCTCTCTATCTCTGTGTCCATCTCTCTCTCTATCTCTGTGTCCATCTCTCTATCTCTGTGTCCATCTCTCTATCTCTGTGTCCATCTCTCTCTCTATCTCTGTGTCCATCTCTCTATCTCTGTGTGTATCTCTCTATCTCTGTGTCCATCTCTCTATCTCTGTGTGTATCTCTCTATCTCTGTGTCCATCTCTCTATCTCTGTGTCCATCTCTCTATCTCTGTGTCCATCTCTCTCTCTATCTCTGTGTATATATGCGTACATCTCTCCGTGTATCTCTGTGTCCATATCTCTATCTCTGTGTATCTCTGTGTCCATCTCTCTATCTCTGTATATATGCGTACATCTCTCCGTGTATCTCTGTGTCCATCTCTCTATCTCTGTGTATCTCTGTGTCCATCTCTCTATCTCCGTGTATCTCTCTATCTCTGTGTATCTCTGTGTCCATCTCTCCTGTGTATCTCTCCCTCTCCCTCCGTGTATCTCCGCCTACCACGCAGGTGATCAGCTGCGACAAGAGCGTGTGCACGCTGCAGATCACCGACACGACGGGCTCGCACCAGTTCCCCGCCATGCAGCGGCTGGCGATCTCGCGCGGCCATGCCTTCCTGCTCGTCTACGCGGTGACGAGCCGGCAGAGCTTGGAGGAACTGCGGCCCATCTACGACGTCATCGTGCAGATCAAAGGTGGCGGGCGCGCTGGGGACGCGCGGGTGTGGGTCGGCGGCGGCCGGAGTCGTCGTCGTTATCATCATCGTTGTCGTCGTTGTTGTCATCGTCGTCATTTTCATTGTCGTCATTGTCATTGTTGTAATTTTCATTGTCGTCATTGTCGTCATTATCGTCATTTTCATTGTCGTCATTGTCGTTGTCGTCATCTTCATTGTCGTCATTGTCGTCATTGTCGTTGTCGTCATCTTCATTGTCGTCATCTTCATTGTCGTCATCTTCGTTCTCGTCATCATCATTGTCGTCATTTTCATTGTCGTCATCTTCATTGTCGTCATTTTCATTGTCGTCATCGTCATTGTCGTCATCGTCATCGTCGTCATCGTCATTGTCGTCATCATCATTGTCGTCATCGTCATTGTCGTCATCGTCATTGTCGTCATCGTCATTGTCGTCATAGTCATTGTCGTCATCGTCATTGTCGTCATAGTCATTGTCGTCATCGTCATTGTCGTCATAGTCATTGTCGTCATAGTCATTGTCGTCATCGTCATTGTCGTCATAGTCATTGTCGTCATCGTCATTGTCGTCATAGTCATTGTCGTCATCGTCATTGTCGTCATCGTCATTGTCGTCATAGTCATTGTCATTGTCGTCATAGTCATTGTCGTCATCGTCATTGTCGTCATCGTCATTGTCGTCATCGTCATTGTCGTCATCGTCATTGTCGTCATAGTCATTGTCGTCATCGTCATTGTCGTCATCATCATTGTCATCATCATCATTGTCGTCATCGTCATTGTCGTCATAGTCATTGTCGTCATCATCATTGTCGTCATATCATTGTCGTCATCGTCATTGTCATCATCATTGTCGTCATCATCGTCTTTTTCATTGTCGTCATTTTCATTGTCGTCATCGTCATTGTCGTCATCGTCATTGTCGTCATCATCATTGTCGTCATCGTCATTGTCATCATAGTCATTGTCGTCATCGTCATTGTCGTCATCGTCATTGTCGTCATAGTCATTGTCGTCATCGTCATTGTCATCATCGTCATTGTCGTCATCGTCATTGTCGTCATAGTCATTGTCGTCATCATCATTGTCATCATCGTCATTGTCGTCATTGTCATTGTCGTCATCATCATTGTCGTCATAGTCATTGTCGTCATCGTCATTGTCATCATCGTCATTGTCGTCATTGTCATTGTCGTCATCATCATTGTCGTCATAGTCATTGTCGTCATCGTCATTGTCGTCATCGTCATTGTCGTCATAGTCATTGTCGTCATAGTCATTGTCGTCATCATCATTGTCATCATCGTCATTGTCGTCATTGTCATTGTCGTCATCATCATTGTCGTCATAGTCATTGTCGTCATCATCATTGTCATCATCGTCATTGTCGTCATTGTCATTGTCGTCATCATCATTGTCGTCATAGTCATTGTCGTCATCGTCATTGTCATCATCGTCATTGTCGTCATCGTCATTGTCGTCATAGTCATTGTCGTCATCATCATTGTCATCATCGTCATTGTCGTCATTGTCATTGTCGTCATCATCATTGTCGTCATAGTCATTGTCGTCATCGTCATTGTCATCATCGTCATTGTCGTCATTGTCATTGTCGTCATCATCATTGTCGTCATAGTCATTGTCGTCATCGTCATTGTCGTCATCGTCATTGTCGTCATAGTCATTGTCGTCATAGTCATTGTCGTCATCATCATTGTCATCATCGTCATTGTCGTCATTGTCATTGTCGTCATAGTCATTGTCATCATCATCATTGTCGTCATAGTCATTGTCGTCATCGTCATTGTCGTCATCGTCATTGTCGTCATCGTCATTGTCGTCATAGTCATTGTCGTCATCATCATTGTCGTCATCGTCATTGTCGTCATCATCATTGTCGTCATCGTCATTGTCGTCATAGTCATTGTCGTCATCGTCATTGTCGTCATAGTCATTGTCGTCATTGTCGTCATAGTCATTGTCGTCATCGTCATTGTCGTCATAGTCATTGTCGTCATCATCATTGTCGTCATCGTCATTGTCGTCATAGTCATTGTCGTCATCGTCATTGTCGTCATAGTCATTGTCGTCATAGTCATTGTCGTCATCATCATTGTCGTCATCGTCATTGTCGTCATCATCATTGTCGTCATCATCATTGTCGTTATAGTCATTGTCGTCATCATCATTGTCGTCATCGTCATTGTCGTCATCGTCATTGTCGTCATAGTCATTGTCGTCATCATCATTGTCGTCATCGTCATTGTCGTCATAGTCATTGTCGTCATCATCATTGTCGGCATCGTCATTGTCGTCATAGTCATTGTCGTCATAATCATTGTCGTCATCGTCATTGTCGTCATTGTCATTGTCGTCATCATCATTGTCGTCATCGTCGTCTTTTTCATTGTCGTCATTTTCATTGTCGTCATCGTCGTCATCATCATTGTCATTTTCATTGTCGTCATCGTCGTCATCATCATTGTCATTTTCATTGTCGTCATCATCATTGTCATTTTCATCGTCGTCATCATCGTCATTGTTGTCGTCTAGAAGCAGCGCCTGAAATCCCTACCGCTCTCCTCCTCCTCCTGCCGCTGCTGCTGCTATGCTCACACACACTCCCACGTCCCACGTCCCACGTCCAACTTCCGTGTCCCACGTCTCACGTCCACCCCCCCCTCCGCCCCCCCCCCCCCCCCCCCGGTGTCGTCCCGCAGGCGACATCTCCGCCGTGCCCATGATGCTCGTGGCCAACAAGTGCGACGAGACGGCGCGCGAGGTGCCCGCCGGCGAGGGGGAGGCGCAGGCCAAGGCGTGGCGCTGCGCCTTCACCGAGACGTCGGCCAAGATGGACTACAACGTCACCGAGGCCTTCCAGGAGCTGCTCAACCTGGAGAAGAGGCGGCACATGAGCCTGCAGGTACAGCGGCGGCGGCGGCGTTTTCGTAGACGCCGACAAACTGACCGTGAACCTCCCCCCCCCTTCTTTCCCCCCCCCCCCATTCCTGAGATGTCCCTCCTCCAACCGCCCCCCCCCCAACCGCCCTTCCCCCCCCAACTGCCCCCCCCAACCGCCCCCCCCAACCGCCCCCCCCAACTGCCCTTCCCCCCCCAACTGCCCTTCCCCCCCCAACCGCCCCCCCCCCAACCGCCCTTCCCCCCCCAACCGCCCCCCCCCAACCGCCCTTCCCCCCCCAACCGCCCTTCCCCCCCCAACTGCCCCCCCCAACCGCCCCCCCCAACCGCCCCCCCCAACTGCCCTTCCCCCCCCAACCGCCCTTCCCCCCCCCAACCACCCCCCCCCAACCGCCCTTCCCCCCCCAACCGCCCCCCCCCAACTGCCCTTCCCCCCCCAACTGCCCTTCCCCCCCCAACCACCCCCCCCCAACCGCCCTTCCCCCCCCAACCGCCCCCCCCTTCCACGTGACTTTACCGAAAGAACCAAGAATATGAATCCCTGCAGTCACGAAAGCTTCAAATCTAGATAGAAATAAAACAAACAAAAAATGTTCCCTTGCCAGGTGAAGGCCCCTGAGCTATTAGCTCATTTCTCAGAAGCGACCTGGGCACGGATGGCAGCGCACGCAACGTCGACCCATCGTCGCGTGGACATTGACAGCGGCAAAATGATCTAAAAGCAGCACTTGCCCCCGACAGTCTGCCAAGGCTATACCGGGGGAGGGGACCTTTGTCTTTGTGTGTGCGCGCGTGCAGGTGGATGGGAACAAAGGTGGAAAGCAATCTTCCCGGAAGCACTTCAAGGGCAAGTGCGTGGTCATGTGACGGAGGTCATGCGGTGGAGGTCATGCGGTGGAGGTCATGCGGTGGAGGTCATGCGGTGGAGGTCATGCGGTGGAGGTCATGCGGTGGAGGTCACGTGACAGAGGTCACGCGGTGGAGGTCATGCGGTGGAGGTCATGCGGTGGAGGTCATGTGCGGTGAGGTTCATGCGGTGGAGGTCATGCGGTGGAGGTCATGCGGTGGAGGTCATGCGGTGGAGGTCACGTGACAGAGGTCACGCGGTGGAGGTCATGCGGTGGAGGTCATGCGGTGGAGGTCATGCGGTGGAGGTCATGCGGTGGAGGTCACGAGGTGGAGGTCATGCGGTGGAGGTCATGCGGTGGAGGTCATGCGGTGGAGGTTACACGGTGGAGGTTACATGGTGGAGGTCATGCGGTGGAGGTTACACGGTGGAGGTTACACGGTGGAGGTCTTGTGGTGGAGGAGAGGGCCGGGTGGGCGGGGTTAGAGGCAAGGGAGGGGGGGAGTTTGTCGCAGGAAGTGGCCAATCAGAATGATGGGGGGGGGACGAGGGGGAGGGGGTTATAGCATCACGTGGGGTTGGATAGTCCCCACGATGCCAGTAAGCGATTGAAGCCATTTAACAACACCTACGGGGACTCCCCTACTTACGAACACACTCAACTTACGAACTTTGGTCCGTATGTCCAGTTGCAGCTGTTCGATCGATAGCGGTGGCGGCATCTGCATCTGCGAGAAACCGGTGGCATCTACGTCTACAGGAGATTAATCTTAATTTTGTAGCTTTCGTGACCGCAGGAATTACTCTTTGGTTCTTTCGGTAAAGTCACGTGTAAAGATAAAATAATAAACGTCGTATACAGGAGATTACGCAACGGTTGAAGCCATTCCCCGGTGTTTTAGCGTACGCGCCGTACGACGCGTTCGAAATCGACACGAGTAAAGTTGGGACTCGCGAGCAAATCGACTTACGAACAGACGCCTCTGGAACCCAACTCGTTCGTAAGTAGAGGAAGCCCCCTGTAATTTTTATTTTCGCTGCGGGAAAATCTCAGCGAGGTGCAGCCCTGCGATTTGCCCGGCACGCTCCGTCCACGCCGCTGGCTCTGCTAGAGGGAGCTCTGGTGGCTACCCCCTCCCGCTCCCAGCCGTACGTCCTTTGGAGAGGTGGCAGTAGCCACACTTTACGCCAACGCACAAGGGCAAACCGCACTTACGCTGCGTGGCGCGGCGGTTTTGGCAACTCGGCTCGGCACGGGAAATTGCCAGCGGCACCTCCAGATTAGCACGGTTGGCTACGGTTGGTGGTGCGAAAGAGGTTCAACATGCTCATTATAGACTCACACAGAGACCCATAGACTCACACAGAGACCCATAGACTCACACAGAGACCCATAGACTCACACAGAGACCCATAGACTACTCACACAGCGACCCATAGACTCACACAGCGACCCATCATAAACTCACACAGAGAACCATAGACTCACATAGAGACCCATCGTAGACTCACACAGAGAACCATAGACTCACATAGAGACCCATAGACTCACACAGCGACCCATAGGCTCACACAGCGACCCATCGTAGACTCACACAGATAACCATAGATTCACACAGAGACCCATAGACTCACACAGCGACCCATCGTAGACTCACACAGAGACCCATAGATTCATACACATACCCATCATAGACTCACACAGAGACCCATAGACTCACACAGAGACCCATAGACTCACACAGAGACCCATCATAGACTCACACAGAGACCCATAGACTCACACAGCGACCCATCATAGACTCACACAGCGACCCATCATAGACTCACAAAGAGACCCATAGACTCACACAGAGACCCATAGACTTACACAGCGACCCATCATAGACTCACACAGCGACCCATCATAGACTCACACAGAGACCCATAGACTCACACAGCGACCCATAGACTCACACAGAGACTCATAGACTCACACAGCGACCCATAGACTCGCACAGCGACCCACCATACACAGTACGTAGGGCCAACCGCGCTAATCGTTAGTGCGGGGGAGGTGGAATGGTGAATGACAACAAACTAAACGCAAAAAAGCAGGTCTAAACAAACGAGTTTGTCAATGTACTCGACGATTTAAAAGTTGCATAGCTGCACCTTCGCCGCCTCCTGTTGCCGCGCGGCCGGGCGGCAGAGGCGCCCTAAGGCTGCGTTGGGCCCAGAGGTCGCAAACGGGTTTTGATTCCTTACCCGTACCCATACCCGGCCGCACCAGGGTCGCAAACGGGTACCCGTACCCGTACCCGGCTGGGTACGGGTAGCCGGGTATCGGGTAGGGTACGGGTATCGGGTAGGGTACGGGTATCGGGTAGGGCACGGGTATCGGGTAGGGTACGGGTATCGGGTAGGGTACGGGTATCGGGTAGGTACGGTATCGGGTAGGTACGGGTATCGGTGGGGTACGGGTACGGGTATCGGGTAGGGTTACGGGTATCGGGTAGGGTACGGGTATCGGGTAGGGGGTACGGGGTATCTGGGTGGGGTTACGGGTATCGGGTGGGGTACGGGTATCGGGTAGGGTACGGGTATCGGGTAGGGCACGGGTATCGGGTAGGGCACGGGTATCGGGTAGGGTACGGGTATCGGGTACCCGGTTGCGACCTCTGGTTAGGCTCCACACTCTGGGAAGGTTGTTCCGAGTTGACGGGGGGGCGGAGGGGGGGGGGGGCGCCGTGGTAGCGAGATGTTAACTACCTCGCCTGGCGTGCAGGAGGTCGTGGGTTTCGGATCCGGACCCTGTTTGCGGTGTCTCCGTGGTCGCGTGGATTTTTCTCCGGGTCCTCGGGTTTGTCTCTCCGCATTTGGAATCGTCGTGCGTTCATCCGTTCGCGTGACGATAGCGTGCCCTGTCAACCCGCACGGTTTACCCCATGTTCTTGTAGAGGGAAATTGAGTTTTCGGGTCCATACGGCGCGCGGCCGTTTCAATACGGCGGAAACAAATGTTCGTGTCTGTTTGTTTTGTGTTTCTCCCTTGTGATGGGATTTTGTAGGATGAACGTTGAGATTTACAAGGCCACGGGGTGACCAATAAGGTGTCTGAATTGGTCTGTAATCAGGTAGGGCACCGATAAGGGGTTGACAGGTACGCAATGAGCCACTTTGCTGAGCTGACATTGATGGCCAGGTCTGACAAAGAGCTTCGTAGGAGCTCAGTGGGGTCTTACCCGGGCAAATAAAAATAAAATAGTTTTAGTTTAGTTTAGACGCTTGTGCAATATGCAATGAAAGCACAAACGCAGCACCGCGCCGGTGCCACTCATAGCGGTGACCCCTCGCCACGAGGATGATTCACCGCGACAATTCACCCCGACGATTCACCGCGACGACTCACCGCGACGACTCACCGCGACGATTCACCGCGACGACTCACCGCGGCGACTCACCTCGGCGACTCACCGCGACGATTCACCGCGGCGACTCACCGCGACGACTCACCGCGACGACTCACCGCGACGACTCACCGTGACGACTCACCACGACGATTCACCACGGCGACTCACCGCGGCAACTCACCACGACGACTCACCGCGGCGACTCACCGTGACAATTCACCGCGGCGACTCACCGCGACGACTCACCACGACGACTCACCGCGACGACTCACCGCGGCGACTCACCGCGACGACTCACCACGACGATTCACCACGGCGACTCACCGCGGCTCCCCACAGCGGTGACCCCCTCACCGCAGCGACTACCGCCACCCCACCAACCGCCCCTCTCTCTCTCACCCCCCACTCCCGCTGCATCTCTCACCGCCACCGGGGAGGATACGACGGTTGGCGCAGCCGGGTGAGCAGGCGATGCAACTGCCACCACGGCCGTGGGAGCCCGGGGGGGGGGTGGTATTCGTAACCGTACTTCACCTCGCCGGGTTCATTGCCGCGGCCGGCGAAGGTGTGGGGGGGGGGGGGTGGTGGGGGCAGTGAGGTGGAGCGGCATTGCAGTTCGGTGCAACGATTCGTTCTGTTCCTTTCCCTACCACTGCCCCCGCTACCGCTGCCCACCATCGTAAAACAACAACAACTACCGCAACCTCGGCCTACACCGACCGGAACCAGAATCTTTGATCATGCGAAGCACCAAAACAAACAAGGCACAAGCAACGGGTCCAAGGCCCCCCCCTCCCCCTCCTTCCGGTTCGTTGGGGTCATTGGGGGTGTGGCCGGTGGTAAGGGGACAAAGCAAATTTACTTTAAATGTTTCTGTGCAACGCTCCTCGCCTCTCCGTTTGAGGCACCGCGGTGGCGAGATGTGAACTACCTCGCCTGGTATACAGGAGGTCGTGGGTTCCATTAATTACCGACCCTGACGCCTGCTGTATATTTGGAGTTTGCGTGTCTCTCTCTCGTCATCATCACGGTGGCTAGGAGATGTTAACTCCCTCGCCTGGTATACAGGAGGTCGTGGGTTCGATTAATTACCGAACCTTGATGCCTGCTGTATATTTGGAGTTTGCGGTGTCTCTCTCTCTCTCTCTTCGTGGTCGCGTGGATTTTTTCTCCGGGTCCTCCGGTTTTTCCACATTTAGAATCGACATCCACGCGTTTCGAGTTTTTTTGCTGCTATTAATATCTACGCGGCGATAAGCCCACTCTGTTGAGCTATCATTTGTGGCCAGGTCGCTTTTGAAAAAAAGAACTGTGGGCCTTACCTGGTAAAATAAAAAGTACCTATAATAAAATAAGAAAAATAGTTATCAACTCCTCGCAAAGTGACAGAAGGGATGTCGACCAAGCGGTTATCGGGAGACGCAGCGACTTAAGAGGTTATGCGAGACGAAAACCGGAGATGGTGGAGGAGACCTGCAGGCCGGATAGAGACGAGACGGAGAGACGGCGCTCGGTTGGAACTTTTTGTCAAGTTCATTTTCTCCGTTTTGTTTGCGAGCGTTTCAGGTGATATTTGAATGCGCCCCTTAGTTGCGTTTTCTTTTTGTTCAAGAATCGGAGGACGCCTGAGCCCTTCGGGGCCTCAATCCCCTTTTTTTCCCCTTGGCCTTGCTAATTTCTAATTGGCGAGCGCCACCACCGATGACGAGCGACAACGCACGCGCACGCCGGTTTACGCGACGCTAAAGGCCA